ATGGCAAAAAATGAAAAAATTACTAACTAATAATAAACTACTAATAAACTACTCTGATTACGAAGCCATAACCACTCAAATATTCGCTCCTCTATTTCAGCAAATCCTTGCCTTCAGCAAAGGGGGATACCGGAAAAATAAGTTTCACTTTACTGGAAATCAGATCATCTATTTCTAGGAAAACAAAACAGAAAGTAACTTCACATGACAGAATAAAGGGAGGGACCTGTTATTGTACTGACATAAGTGCAGAGCTGTATCCTCGGAAATACTACCTATAGCAGAACATTGCATGTACAGAAGACAAAAACTCCTGGATAAAAGATTGGATACTATCTTTACCATGTATGAATCTCTCCTACAAAGGTAGGCCCCCCCTCTCTCTTTTAAAACCTTTTACATATGAGCTTTACAACGTGAACCAACTGTTGCTTTCACTGGAGACTACTGGACATTGCTGGGTATCCATAGTTACCTCAGAGTTACAGTGCATTATATTGATGGACAGTGAGAGATGCATTCACATGCTCTGACTGTATTGACAACAGAGAGACAGTTTGCTTGCACAGCAGTGGAACGTTTCAAATAAAGTCAACATACTGAGCACAGCAAGAAATATTTTAACTGCTACTGTGTAAAGGGAATAGTGCTGTTAAAAAGCAACTTATTTGTTGTGTAAAGTTGTGTATAAGTGCAAACCAAATGTTATTGCACTTTTGTTCATATAGCAGTACTTTTAAAATAATAGTGCACAATACAATACTTTTGAATTCATTATTGATTTATTTCTGCGAGTAACCATGCCATTAATTGCGATTAAACATTTTAATCGTTGCCCAGCACTAGTTATTTTTTTGATATTGTAGACTAGTAGGTTGTAGAGTATTTGTATTTTTAACTGTGTGATTGTTGAGTAAAATCAATTGCTGTTGGTGAGGAAGGTATTACAAAGTTATTTTCTATTACTTTCAGTGAGATGCAGTGTGAATAATCTGAACCAAATGTGAGATGGCTGAAAGTGTACCCACAGTGGAAAGCTCAGATGAGGAGGTAACAATCTTTTTTACAACTCTAAACTTACAGTTAATAATTAAAAAATTACAAGCCATATATACTTTGTTATATATTATATACGATACTATGTTTCCCTATCAGTTATTGTAAATGGTATTCTGATTACAATTGATTTTTTACACAAATTACCTAGGAGTTCTATGATGCACCTGAATCCTTCTCTGAGCAAAACTGTGAGAAAGGAGAGAACACTCCAGCAACAGCACAGTCTGACTGTAAGTGTGTCTGTCAATAACTGATCCAATTTAATGACTGAATACACACTGTAATGTGGATACTGAGATGCACTTCTCTTCTCTTATTTCAGATGTCCTTCCACCTGAAGTAACAGTTCTCAATGCTGATCAGGAGACTGTTTGTCTTGGTTTACCACTCACTGATCACTCTTGTTGGTATAAACTACAAGTAGATTACTCCTGTGACACACACAAAGGCAGTTTGATTACAAAGGACTTCAGCACTGTGAAGGTTGAGGGACTGAATCCTGGGACTGAATACACTTTCAGTATCACAAGGATTGCAGATAATGGAAGTCGAAGCAAAGCAACCTCGCTATCTGTCTTCACAGGTAAATCTGTAAATCAATAAAAAAACAACAAAAAAACTAAAACAAACATTAAAGACAGTGTTGTCTAAATGGTATTTGGACTCATATACAATTGTACTTCTCACACTAAGATATGCTTTCAATTTATGTTATAAAGGTTAGTATATATATTATATATGTATACAGTATGTGTCTATCTTTTACCACACCTCTTTTGCTTGGTAGTCACACTGCACTTTTAAGTGTAGTCAAACCTTGACAGAACTTGAATTTCCAATTATATGTGAAATATAATTATATATTATTCCCACAGAGCCCAGCCCTCCTGCGCAGATTGCTGTCTATCAGGCCAACAGTGAGTCACTGTCTCTGCGTTGGGACCCTCCTGTTGGTGAAGTGAAGAGTTATATTGTGACCTGTTGCAGTGAGGGAGAAACTGTGCATGAGTTGACAACAGACACAAACAACCTGACTATCAGCGACCTGAAGCCAGGGGCGTGTTACTCCCTCCAAGTTTCTGCACAGCATAGGAATGGAAGAATAAGCAAGGCGACTGTAACATCTGCCCACACAAGTAAGAAAAATAAAAGTCTTATTTGCAGTGCATTTTCAAAATAAAGTCACAGACTTAGGGGCCAAATAAGATTTTACGGGCGACTCAGTAATGGTTTTCAAAAGAAACATACAACCATATGGACCATGTATCCCTAACCTGTGTGACTGTCTAACACTGCAGCTGCTCTCTCAGCTTTACCCAACAAAGCACTCTGAACCAAAGAGGCCATTTTCTTTAGACCCGTTACTTTCCTATGACATTTTTCAAATATTTCAGGCTTATAATGGTAAGACCAGTCTTCTTAAAGTTTGGCAACGGATAGACATGATAAATGACAACCATGTGACCATGACATGATAACTACAACAAATGCACAGACATAACATTGATTGACTCTCTACTCTGAATGGTAAGATGGCAAGAAACATGTGTATTTTTCTATGAATCCCATGGCCCTACATACAACTTCCAAATTAGATGTACTTTCGAGTCTGCGCATCTTCCAGGCTAAAAACAACCAGGCTTCTGCAATCTGCTTGTTCCTCAGGCATATTGGATCATATTAAGCCTGTTAGAATGAATTTTGGTGACTGGTTTGACTGTAATTTAAGTTTTGAGCACAAAAACTACTTGTGCAATCATATTTATCATCCTAGAAAGATTTCAATAATCCAATCTTTCTTAACTTTTAGAGACACAGAGACCATTTCACATGCATTTATCTCATCATGCCTGGATTACTGCAACAGACTTTTTACCAGTCTGAACCAAATATCGATTGTTCGATTCCAGATTGTACAGAACTAAAAAAATATGATATAATACAATATGTGCCAGCTCGTACTTTGAGATCTTCGGGCAGAGGTATTTTGTGTGTTCCAGAGGCCCAGCTGAAAACAAAAGGTGATAGACCAGGGCACTGAGGCTCTGGAACAATATGCCTGAGGAAATGAGGTCAGCTGAGTCAGCGATTGAAGTATCTTTTATTTCCCAAATTTTTCTTGCTTTATCTGGTTGAAATTTCCTTCAAAAAGTGCTATCTGCTTTTGTTGGAAAAGAGCTTGCAGCACTGAATTCAACAAGATTTAGTGCAGCACTGTTGTATTAGACTGCATTAGTTTTGGGTAGCTGTACCTGATTGAACTCTGTATATGTTACCATAGATTTTGTTGCATGTTTACAATATTTAAAATAGTTTCATAATCATAGCCTTCATGCCCACAGAGACACGCCTGGAGAGCTTACTGGAGGATCTGGGATTGGAGCGGCACTACACAGAGAAGCTATCCCTGAGCACAATACTACAGATTGATGAGAAGACCATCACTGATAAAACTGCAAAGTGTAACTCAGATCTTCCATGGTATTTTCTAAAGAAACTAATGATGGTTAATGTGGCAGCTAGGAATGTGAAATGTACATCTGTAGGTGATGAAAAGACAGAGGTAAAATTTGATAATTTGTTTGACAGTCCACATTCAGGTGAAATGCTGAACCCCCTCGACATAATC